GAAAAAAATGAATCAAATTGCTTTTTCTATAAATGTGGCCCTTGCCTCATCCTTTCCCCCTTTGTCCCTGAACTAGAGTTGGAAGGGAGAGGGGGCAGTCAGACCACAAGGGTCAGTGCCTGGCGTGTGCGGGGCCTCACAGAACATAAACTGCCTCCACTCCCAGGGTTCATGACTCCAAAGAGGTCAAAGGACAAAGGGGAAAAGGAGCAGCACCACACATTGGAAGGAGCGTTGGAGGTGAGGGGAGACTTTAATCCCAGTCTGTCACTAGCTCCCATGTGACCTTGGGCAAGCCCCTTCCCCTCTCCGGGCCTCAGTTTCCCTGCTCCAAAAGGGAGGGTGTTGGCTACAAGCCCCAAAATCCCTTCACTGCTCCAGAGGTCCATGGAAACTCATACGAGGACAGCCCCACCCAGAATCCCGGCCATCAGCAGACGGAGGGTGGCCCAAAGACGCCTCTCCTGGGATCCCCCTGCTTTCCTACCTGCTCCAGAATGTCACACTTCAGCATGAGAAAAAACCCTACAGGGGATGGAGGTGCCCTTCCCACCCCAGCCTCCACCAAGATGCACACCCCCAGCACTGTCTCCTACAGCAGCAGTGGGTAGGACGCCAACTGTTTTTTTTGGAAATACTAAAGGTGTAAGGGGCTAATACCCATCCGCCAAAACTCAGCTCAAAGCCCTCCTCCCCTGGGAAGCCTTTCTGGATCACCCCAGCTATAGGGATCTCTCTCCACTTCTGATCACCTATGAAATCAACAATGGGAAGCCCTCACCAGTATGATATTCATTGTATTAATTATGCCTGTTGAGCAAATAATGCCAGGTGTTTATTACTGACCGCGGACAGGGCGTGACGGCAGGACCCAGCAACACACATCCCATCTTTGACCTCAACAACTTCAAAGTCTGCAAATGTGTCACTTCCACAAGTTCACAGGACATTGGGTGGCTTAGGTCCCAGACCACACTCTCCCCACAGCAGCTACATGAAAAGTGCTCAGGGCCCGAGCTGGTCCACAGTGGCCTGCTGAACCACATTGTCCCTGAAGCAGGATGCCATACAAAAGTTTCTGGTGTTAAAGAAATGTGATTCCTCCTTCCCCAGTAGAGATACAGTACAGTTCTAACACGGACATCTTCAAATTAGAGGCCAGAAACCATTTCCCCTTTTAGAGGCACTTTGCTCCAAAGATAATTTGGGGAAAGGGGAGTCCTTGTTGTGAATTCCAAGGCAGCATTCACTGATTCAACATACATTTATTAAATCCCTATTATGTACCAGGCACTGGGCATAAAAAGATAAGATTTAGTTCCTGCCCTCAAGGAACTCGATCTGGTAAGACACACCAGCACGCCAGCAAATGCAGGAGAGTTAGGGAAACACTGGGGCAGAGTGTGCAGAGGGGCCAGAGAGGAGGAGATGCTAAATCACAGGCAAGACCAGTGAAATCTGAGAAGGCTTCCTGGAGAAGGTGATGCTTGAACGGAGTCCATTTAATGCATGGGATAGACAAGCAAAGATTTCTGAAGTGGCGAGCAGTTTGGGAAACCCAGGAAGGTGCCAGGGGGACAGCAGGTTTGCACAGCTGGAGCCAAGCACACCTCCAGGTGACTGGAGGAGGAAGGAGGCCAGGCAGGCTCACAGAGGCCAGGCCCCCAAGGCCAGGCCTCTCAGGTTAAACCAAAACGTTCATTCATTCAACATCTCTTTACTCAGGGGACTTTTAAGCCAGTGGTTCTCAGAGTTTTTTATCTTAGGACTCCTTTTTACTCTTAAAACATTTGGAGGACCCTAGAGCTTTTGTTTTTATGGATATCTATTAATTATTGACTACATAAGAAATTAAAACAGACATATTCTAAACATTTATTAACTCATTTAGAAATAGTAATAGATTTACATGTTAACATAAATAGCATACTTTTTATAAAATATTTTTCAAAAAAAAAAATGGAGTGAAAAGAGTGGTGTGAGTTTTACATTTTTTAAAAAGATTTTTTTATTTGAGAGAGAGAACGCGCACGAGCAGGACTTGGGGGGAGAGGGAGAGGGAGAAGCAGACTCCCAGCCGAGCAGGGAACCCGATGCGGGGCTTGTTCCCAGGACCCTGAGATCATGACCTGAGCCAAAGGCAGACGCTTAACAGGCTGAGCCAGCCAGGCGCCCCTGAACTTTACATTTTTGCAAACACCGTGTGGCTGATAGGAAGACGGCCGCAGTCTCCTAGCTGCTCCTCGCTCGGTCTACAGCCATAATCAGCACCCCACCCAGTGCCCCGGAATGCCCCCACTGAACACGCCCGAGGATGACAGTGCGGAAGGCAAGCAACATCTCAGTATCACTATAAAAAGGGTCCTCCAAATGGTTTTGACTTCAGGGACCCCTTGAAAGGGGCCCCCCCAGGGACGGCTGGAGCACACCCTGAGAGCAGCTGTTTGGGGAACAAGAGGCGGGGGGGACACAGCTATAGCAGCGAACCAAACACACAAGTCCCGTCTTTGGGGGAGTTCACATTCTAGCTGGGGACAGACAAATAAGAAAAACACAGTATGTCATGGTTATAAGTGCTAGGAAGGAAATAAACAGGAAAGGAGGCTGGGGAGGCTGGGGGAGGAGACTGTCATTTTAAATGGCTTAGTCAGGGAAACTGACATTTGAGCAAAGACTTGAAGTAGCGGAGGGCTCTCTAATATCCATGCGACGTATGGACGAATGTTCAAGAGCTACCAAGACCTTGGAATGCACTCCTGTGCTCACAGAAGAGCATCTATGGGGTGACAGAGGGGGACTGTGTAGGAGATGAGGTCAGAGGGCATGGGCGGGGGTGGGGAGGGCAAAGCAGGTCAGGTCGAGCCTGGAAAGCCACTGACAGGACTTGGGCTTTTGCTCAGTGTGTGGGAGGCGTGCAGGTTTACAGAGGAACCTCTGACCGACCTTGATTTTCAAAAGTTACTGGGACTGACTGCTGTGCTGAGAACAGACTGGAGGTGGGGGTTGGAGGCGCAGACGGAAAGCAGTCAGGAATCTCCTGCGGTCACCCTGATGCCAGGTGGCAGCAGCCTAGACCATGGGGGGGCATGGAGAGGGGGCGAGAAGCAAGCAGACCTGAGATATATTTTGATGTTGCAATAGGGAAATAGCTGAAATAATTTAAGCAGGGAGTCACACGCTCAGATCTGCTTTCAAAAGTTCTTTGTGGGGCGCCTGGGTGGCTTAGTCGGTGAAGCATCTGCCTTCGGATCAGGTCATGATCCCGGGGTCCTGGGATGGAGCCCCGCGTCGGGCTCCCTGCTCAGCGGGGAACCTGCTTCTCCCTCTGCCCCTCCCCCCCGCTCATGCTCTCTCGCTCTCACTCTCTCTCAAATAAATAAAATCTTAAAAAAAAAAAAGTCCTTTCATCAAAGAGAATATTCACATAGCTCCGAAGAGTCATCCCACAGCTTATTCGTCATCAAGGGGACATGCATGTTGACAACGGAGGGGGCTGGCGGGCTGGCTTGGCACGGCCAGCAGCGGGGTGGCCGGACATCGGACGCCTCCAAATCAACACAGTATCCCGGACCTCCCACCACAGCCCCCATGCAGCGCTTGTACCGGAAATGTGTGGCCTGAGCCCAGTGACAAGGAAACCGAGACCGCGAATCCAGAGCGCAGGCGTCTGCAGGTCACCGGCCGGAGCTGTCAAAGGAATCACAGGCAGTGCGGATGGACTAGACTGGGGCATTCCAGAGACGCGTCTCGGCCAAGCCAGTGTGTGAACCTCGAGTGCATCCTGGTTGAGTAAAAGATCCACCCCGAAGGACATCTGGGGAACAACTGGATAAGAACTGCATAGGAGATGAGGTTTTATTTTATGGAGGGTTTTTTTTTTTTTCAGATGGACAATGGTAGCGCGTGGGAGAATGCCTTTCTTGGAAAGCTGAACGCTGGAGTATCTAAGGGTGAGGTCACAGTGCCTGCAGCTTTCTTTCGGCTCGGTTGCAAAGAAGTGTTGTATTGAGAGAGAGAGAAAGAATGTGAGAGAAAGATCAGAGAGAGAGAGATGTTAAGACGAGATGTTAACAACTGTTAACCAAAAGCATGCAGGCGTTCTTTAAACTCTTCTTTCAACTTTTCTGTGGGTTTAAAAAAAAATTTTTTTTTTTCCCCTCTGACAACTTGATTTTGGAACTACTGATTTGAGGCTTCTCCGGTAACCAGGTTTCTCCAGCTTGCAAGAGAGAAAGGGCCTCTCCTGCCCCACCCCAACCCTCCAGAACCAGGGAACCCAAGACTTCGTCCCACATATCCGTGGGCACACAGACGTCCCGAAAACCTGCTCGTACACACTGGCTACTTGCAGAGCATCCACGATCTAGCAACACCAGGCCATGTGGGCAGCCAGCCCTGGCTTGTGCAGCTCCCTTGAGCACCTGGCACAGGGGCTGGCACAGGGCCCGGCATGTGCCACTGGGGATTCGGGGTGGACACTCAGGGAGTCCCCAGTCTGGCTTCCAACCGGATGAGGGCTCATGCAGGCCCCCTCCACCCCTGCATCACAGCAATATCCAGGTCCAGCAAGCCTTCCCCTATCCACTTGCTGATTTTCCCTAAGCAACAAGAGCGCAAGGCCCCAGCAGATCCTGGTGGATCAGGCAAAGGCAGACAGGTGGACACACAATCGTCCTCCCAGGCCTTCAGAACATATAACATTCAGGGACTCAGAGGTATTTCCACTCACGTTTCAGATGCACTTTTTTGTCAAGATGAGATTCAATGCAATGCAGGAACTGTGATGCTAGATCCTGATTTGTTGCTTTTAATGCACTGTGAGAAATATTTTAGGGACGAATGGAGAAATTTTAATATGGACGTTGTATTTCCCTAGGCATGATAATGGTAGTTATAGCCAAGAATGTTCTTTTTTTTTTTTCTCTCTTTTTTAGAAGATGCATCCTGGGATATTTGGAGTGAACTGTCATCATGTCTGCAACTTACTTTGACCTGGCCAAATGTTTCAATTCTGGCTGATGGGCATATGAGTGTTCCTTTTGTCATTCCTTCACCTTCTCTCTCTGTTTTAATCTTTTTACAATAAAAAGTTGGGAAAGCCGGCAAGATCCAAGTTCCATTTTTCCCAAGAGGAAGCCTGTTTACAGGTCTGAGTTTCTCTTTGGCCTGGGAAGTCTCCGTGGCCACAGCCAGGGGCCTGCTTCCCAGAGGCTGGGGGCAGGCTGCTTCCTGCAGCCTGGGATTAATGCCCTCACCAGATGTCTCACTAACTGCAAACCGGGGCTAAATATAGGTTATAACAGGAACCTACCAATTATACAACCAAGAAAGCCTACTAGAAAACAGGACCCCGAGGCTTCAGGGCACGCTCCTCCCTGTGCACGGGAGAGAGGCCTGGGGGAAGGCAGAAGGGGGTCACTCTATACCCTCAGTTCCCTCCTCCTCTGCTTTAAGAAAATTAGGATAAGAGAACACACACACAACAAACCAGCAAGATGCAGTCCCGCCATTTAGGAGCTGTGTGACCTTGGACAGGCCACTTCCCTCTCTGAGCGTTGGCTGCCTCTGCCATTAAGTAGGAACACTAACACCAGCCCGATGGTCACACAGAGGACCCCAGGAGACAGGGAAACTCCTTTGTAAACTGTAAGGTGCTCTAACACGTAGTGAGAATCCCCCCTTTTTTTTTTAAAGTCAACAGATACAAAGACCGTGTTAAGTGCCTACGCCTGACCAGGAGGTTCCACGATTTTTCTTTAAATCAGCTTTTTCTTAGTAAAATAAACATGATCCTGACCTAACCTATCAATATCTATGAAATCAAGATTTGAGAGAGTAATTATTTTCTTCCGCACATATCACACTTCATGCATATCTATTAAATTTTAAAATGCTACCCCAGGGACCACCTAAAAGCCTCTTGCGAACCACCAGGAATAAGCAGATGGACGCGGCTCTGGCCCAACCCCCTTATTTGGCAGATGGGAATGTGAGACCAGAGAGAGGCTGTCACTCCCACGAGGTCACACAGCATCTTAGCCATCGGACAGCAGCTGTGACCTGGGTCTCCAGACTCTCAGGCTAGTGCTCCCTCCACCACAAGATGCCCTCCCTCATCAGGAACAAGAGTTCTCACGCCCTGGCATGCCCTAGCCTGATGGAAATATTAAAAGGACAGTGAGGGACACTGAACGACAGGGATGCCAGCTCCTTTTCTGTCTTCCTGCAGTTCCAGAGAGCCCGATGTAGATCTGGGTCCCGGTGCCGCTTCGGGCCCGCTCCCTCCTGTCTCACAACCCACACGGGGTGGCAGTCAGCCCACCTCGGTGTGGGGATCCGGAGCCCCTGCCCTGGGGAAGCTGCTCCCCACACCAGGGCCCCTGCTCCTCTAGCAGAGCGTCGGGGAGAACAGGAGGGCCCCCAAGGGCCTCAGAAATGTTAGATGGCTGCCTGAGTAACGGAGCCCATGAACCAACGACCCCTTCAAACAGCCCAAGTCTCCAAAAGGGAAACGGTCTTCCAAGGAGAAGCCCCTGAGACAGAAAGGAACTGAGAGTGAGGCTGGGCATTTCCTTGCAAGTTCCCTAACCTCTCTGGGCCTCTCCTCGCCTCGGCGTAGAGCTGCCAAGGCCGCCTCTCCGGTGGCCGGCCTAGTAAATGAGAGCATGTCCAGCAAACAGAGGGAGGGCTCACTGATCGTGAGCTTTAAAAAGGACAAAACAGGAGGATCCAGAAGGCGCGAGCAGACTGGACAGGGGGCAGCATGGAGGGCTTCTCGATTGCAAAAAGGAAAGTTCGGTTCTAAGGCCAGCCCCAGAGGAGTCCACAGGGGAGAAAGAAGACAGGGACAAACAGGCCCCACTCCTGTCACAGGGACTGGGGGTCCCTCCACAACTCCTGTCCTCTTATTTCTGCTCTGATCATGACTCCCCCCCACCCCCGCCCTTGGGCATGCAAAGAGTCAAGTGGCCACTGCCACTCCTACGGGAGCCCAGAGCCCAGCTGCCTGTCCACTGCTGACTCAGTGTCCCCGCCAGAGCCTCCTGGGAGGCCTTGGCCGGCCCCGCCCCCAGCACAGAATGTCTGCAGCTGCCTGAGCTCTCTGCTAGCACTTGGTGAGTGACAGCCTCTCAAGGGACAGGGCTGGCTCCTCTCCCCCCACCCCCAGCGCAGCACAAGGCCAGGCAAACAGTGATCCTGGGGCAGAGGTTGGGCAGAACCAAGCCAGCGTTCCAAGCTGCCGCCCGAGTTCCCTGCTGCACACAAGGCCACACAGCAGGCCTCTGTCCCCGGGCACAGCGGCAGTCCCGTTTACAGGGGGGGCCCCCCATCCCCCAGATGGAAAGGCTAATCCCGGGGGAAATCACCGAGTGGGACTCATCGTCCCCTCTGAATGATGTTGTTCCACTGGCCACAGTTTGAGAACCAGAGGCAGCTGCTGTGGGGTCTGGCGGATTTCCTCCCGTCTGAAAGGAAGGGGTTGCGCCAGGTGCCCTCCGCGGCCCTTGGGAGTTTGGCCCAGCTGTAAGTCCAAGTCACATTCTACCTGCGCCAGGTAACAGGTGACACTCCTGTTCCGAAAGACTGTACGAGATCAGACGAGAAAGGCTGTACGAGAAGCGTAAATGTTTTACAGCCCCGCTTGGCAAGCAGTTTCCTGAGAGCTAGCTCACATCCCCCTCCCCTGTTTTACCCTCCTTCCATCGGAGAGCATAACCACGGGCCTGCGCGGGCGGCAGGGGCGGGGCGGGGGCGGGGCCGGACGGTAGGCCTCGCCCCCACGCCAGCCCTGCTCCGCCCCCAAACCCCATCCGGGCCTCCGCAGTCTTCAGCACAGCCCCCAAAAAGGGAAGGCCATCCCCCCTGCTCAGCTGGGCCCCGCACGGGTGAGACAACCTCGTGGAGCAGAGAGGGCTTGCGCTTGTTTCCTGAAGCTGCCCTCAGGAATCCCAAGTTTGCTGGGGCTGCGCCGTAACAACTGGGTGGCTTAGGGCAACAGCAAGTCCGGAGGTCTGAGGTCTGAAACCGACGTGTCACAAGGCTCCTCGACCTCCGGAGGCTCTGGAGGAAATCTTTCCCCGCCTCTGCCGGCTTCAGGCGCCTAGCCCGCCTGCCTCTGCCTCTGCCTCCGTGTGGTCTTTCCCTCTGTGTTTGTGTCTCGTCCCAAAGCTTCCCCTGCCTTTTCTTAAAAAGACACTTGGCCTTCGATTTAAGGCACACCCAGGTGATCAGGATGATTTCATCTCAAGGTTCAGAACCTAATTATATCTACCAAGACCCCTTTTCCAAGTAAGGTCACATTCGAAAACATGAACGTATCTTTTTTTTGGGTGGGAGGGTGGAGTGGGGGACCATCAATCCACTGCAGAGCTCAGTGATCAGAGTCAGAAATCGAGTTCCCATCCTTCCACTAACTGGTCACTAGCTCATCACCATGACCCCAAACAAATACATCTCACCTATCTGGAACTGTTTTCCCATCTGGGAAATGGGTATGGACAACCGCCTGCCATGTCTCTCCTAAGAGGAGTCAGAACTGCAGGTCAACGAGATCACAACCAACATTCCAAACACGATGCCCATGCATCAGTGGTTCTCAAACTGAAGACATAATTTAAGGCGGGGGGGGGGGGGAACCATCCTAGCTCAACTCCCAAGTGTGAATCTCTGACTCACAAAAATACTCACAAAAATACTTGTTAAGTTACAAAGTTGACTACAGAGAAGTGTTACCTTTAGAACGGGTGAAATAATGTAAAGATAACCAAAAGGAAAACAATATTCTAGAACTCACGGACCACCCCCCACTCCCCAGATACATCCCAGTGCTCCAGAGAAGCCCAGCCTCCTGAGCCATCTCCCACATCCCCAAGCTGGCAGTCTCCACAGGCCTCCATGGGCCCTTCTCACCCAGGCTGAGCCTGCTGACTCCCACGTACCCCTCCTCCAACCCCAGCTAGTCCTTCTCTCCTGTCCTGGGACCAGCACCAGCAACAAGCCTCTTGCAAACAGTGCACTAACTCCCAGCACAAAGACACTGTCCAGATTGTCCAGGAGGCTGGGGAAGTTTCAGCACGTCACTCGGGATTCACACAGAGAGAAGGTTGGCTTGGAAACCTGGCCAGTCCGGTCAGAGTTCCCTCACAGGCACCACCAGAGCTGCAGCTTCCACTCCAAGCTGCACATTAGAATCACCTGGGGAACGTTTAAAAATTAGAGCTGCCTAGGTCCCACCCCATACCCACTGTATCAACTCCGAAGATGGGGCCTGGTGTGTACTGGCAAAATCCACCAGGACCAGCAGCCTCAAGCCATAGTCGAGGCCCACTGATCTAGAAGGTCCTTTTGACCTCAGGAAGTGACCCAGACTCAGAATTTGGCACCAGCCCCAGAAGCCAGCATCCCACTCCACTCCAACTAGGGGACTTGGCCCCAGTCTGCAATGGGGTGGCCCCAGGGGTTGGCTTCTGCCCTCTGCCAAGCACATGGAGCCCAGCACAGCACCCGGCATGCTATGCGCGCACAGGAACTGAGTGTCTGGCCCCAGGCACCACCATGGTCCCACCAAGCTGCCCCCAGCACAGCCCATCCTCTGGGAAGGGATTGGAAACAGCACAGAAAGCCTATGTGACTGGTCCAAGGCCACGCACAGTATCCTGGGAGAGGCTTCCAGCAGCCCTGGGCGTAGGTGGTTCTCTCCCAGCAGAAAGGAGGGGGACTCTGAGCCCCTGAGTCCAGACCAGGCCAAAGCTGTTTTCCTTCTTCCCCTCCATGCAAATATTTACTTTCCTGCAGGCCAAGATGCAAATGCCTCCCTGGGTGAGAAAGTTCCCTTTGGAAAAGATTAAATACAACACAGCAGGCACTTTCAACAGTGAGGTCCCCGGTGGGGGGGGGGGATGGATGCAAATGGTGGGTTGCGCCAGTCCCTTCCCCGGTGGGGGCCTCAGTCTCCTCAGCTGTAAAATGGAACAAGTGTCCCCTGTCTGCGTGGTTCACACGGGTTGCTCTGAGGCTCCAGAGGTGAAACACAGTGTTGGTGAGGCAGGCACCC